GAAATACAGTGGCACTTGATTATTTGTACATCATATTCTCAACAAAATTTCAAAAATTACATAACACTGCTTCTATCACGTCCCTGCTCCTGGTTACTATCATCACATTTCAACGGTTTAGAAACTGCTCATCTCTAGAGAAAGATGTTTTTTTGTCGTGTCACGAGTATGGTACAAAGTAAAAATTCTGAGTCCCCATTGGGAATTCAGATGCCACGCTCATCTCTTCTTCGAATTGGTCAATTCAGACAACAATTGTGACAGACCAACCAAAAATGTTACAAACTTTTTCGATTTTCTTACAATTTAGTGTGAAATCATTTCCTAAAGCTTTCTCATTCTTTCTTTTGAAAGAAAACATGAGAGAAATCCCATTTTGCAGCATATAACCTATCTGTTATTGACCAATCAGGAAAAAGGTATTTTGATGAGTACACAATAATTCTGTATACGCTGATCAACTATTCTTTGGACAATGAATAATTGTGGTGACCAGCTCCCTTTTACCAATGGTTGGCAAAGCTGTCGGCCAGAAGGTGGGCTTAAAACTGTCAGCCAACAATTTGTTAACTGCTGACCATCAGTTGGCCAGCAGCTGAGTCAGCCATCATTTGGTTAACTTGTTTTTTTTCAGGGAGTTGAACTCCACAATGACCAGAAAAAGTAATAACATTGCACAGACGAGTTGCATGTGAATCACTCATCAGAATAAAAGGGTTTAGGGGTGTGACTGCAAAATCCTGCCAACATCTTCACAGAAGAGACTACTGGGAATCAACTTAAATCAACAACAACGAAAACAAAATTCACGTGAAAATAAAGCATAGAACTGAAAGCACTAAACTTCATCAAAATTTTGAAAATCGGTATCTGAAAAGCTATCATCTACAAGTGTTCTTTCATTCAATGAATCTTCAGTGAGGAAGTCCTGAGATGGAACCAAACTACCTTCATCTGTCTTCTCTACTATTTGATCAGATTCCTTATCCATGTTATCATCAAATGTCCTACTTTGATCAGTTTGTGATGTCTCTGATTCATCAGTTCTTCCTTTCTGAGAGTCTTTTTGTTCCATCTTTGCACGACGCAGACCCAGAATCTGTTTGTTTACAAAAGAGACAAAGTATGGTTACATGGGGCAGTTTTTACCTAAGGGTTTGACAGTTAACTGGATTTGCATTAGTTTTTTTTTTTAACTTCACTCTACGATTGGTCAAGTAAAACTTGTGCAACTCTCTCTATTCACTGGATGAAAACTTTACCCTTTAATTCCTTAGAGTGACCAGCATCTAATTTCTCCTTACAATATCACCCTTAAATCACAAATTAAGGTTACGAGAATAAAGGAAATGATCACCAATTAATGAAGTTCTTAATTGTTAAACAAATTCTCTTTGTCAGCAATCAATAGGAACAGTATAGAGAATATAAATGCTGAGATTAGGGCGGAAAGGGTTAACCACCATTTAAACTTCATGTTTTCCTGCCTTTCCAGCAGTTTGCTTTTTTTATTATTATTAAGTTCTTACTATCTTTTTTGTAATGTTTACACCCCCCCCCCACCTCCAAAACAAAAATAAAACACAACCCACAGCACAATTATAACAAGAAACTGTTCACTACAAACCTTAACATAATTAGCAGGTATAATTCCTTCACTGCTACCATCAAGACTACCCAAGAGCCAACCTCTAATGCGTGGCTGCTTTCCCTTGGGAGCAAGTCGAAGGATGTCCCCAGCACAGAAAGACAACTCCTCATCATTTTCACCATCAAAATCATACTCTGCTCTGGCAATGACGTGGTCTCCCTCTCCTACAATCAATTGAGTCTAAGTAACATTTTATTTCCAAAGTATCTCAATAATCTTGGCAAGGAAGAAACAAGAAAGAACCACAAAATGACTTAAGTTTTCTTGCCTCAAGGGGATACAATTGTAGAACACAAAATGATTAGTGCAATCTAAATACAAGTTCTAGCTGAATCAGCTTCAGAGTTAGTCAATGGCTGTTTAACTCTTTAGACCATATCACAATAGCCCTGGCTGGTGTTAAAACCCTCACCACTTCTTAAATCATTACGCCTCTACATCAGCCAAAGACTGAGGGTTGCTGTTTTATAAAGCATCAGATGTTTCTCAGTGGTGTTGGGAGTAAAATGGAAAAACAAGATACTAACTTATTTTCTCTAAATCAAACTAGGGAAAAGCAATACCTGTCTTCCAGTCTTTGGTTTTACTCTCATCTTTAAGCAGAGACTGTAACAACTTCCATATAATCAGTGGAGTACCAAGAACAACTCCAAAGAACAGTAAAATGGGCCATGATCTTCGCTTCCTGGAGTCACCTTTTACATATGAAGATACCACAGCAGTTTCTGCACTGCTCCAAAGTTCTTCTTCAAGACCCTGGCTTACACCAAATAAAGCTTTGAACTTTCTAAAGACATATCGTATGACCTTGAACAGTGTAAATGCACCAAGCATGCTAACCAGATGAGCTCTAAGTCTACTAAAATGATCTGCCATGCTTAAAACAGCATGAAATGTGTTCTGCATAGCAAAGTGAGTTGACTCCAGCATCATGGCAACAGATCCAAATGCCTGCACAATAGATTCAATTGACTGAAATGCTGCTCGGCTACTTTCTTCTGCCTGCCTCACAAAAGAACTTGTTCCTGATTGGTTCATGGTGTTGCCATAACGATTCATGCCAAATCCATACCCACCATACCCCCCATAACCTCCTCCATACATTCCTCCGTAACCTGCATGTTACAGAAAAAGGAAGACATATCACTTAGTAAAAGAACATCAACGTCATCCCTTGCAACCTTAGCTATTTCTAAGTATGTAACATAAAATTGAAGTGAAAAAATTAAGGATTGAGGATTTTTGCCCAAAGTTGATTTTACCACAATTGGCGGTAATATTGCAATCAGATTGGCCAATTTGCCATTGTTGATATGAAGCACACACACAACGCTGATCCCATCAATGTGTTATGCATCACTTTATCACTGAAAGAGTTGTTTTATTTGACATCGATATTGTGGTAAATAACAAATTTGACATGGGTTTAGTGTGGTCTAAACACTTATCCACAATGATATTTGTCGTCACAATGATCAAACTGTTGGGGACTTACAAGGCCCAGTCTTTAATAAATTGATTGAATTCCCAGCTTAAAAAAATTAGTGAATCCTATGTAAACTGAAAATTTTGGGCTAGATTACCTTCTCCTTTGTTTACAAGTTTTCACAATGAATAGAATTGTTTGGCATTGGTCAACCTTAGTCCATATGTGGGTGTTTTGTCTACCTTAATTTCAGTATTTGACATTTGGGGAAAGTTAACAATTAGAAATCTTTATGCATTTACAACTGAGTTTTTCATGCTATCTTTTCATCTTTTCTTTTCATTAATACACTATGATAATCTGAAAAACCAAAATTACTGTGCATCTCTCTCCCTTCTCAACTTAATTACAGTAGAATGTCACTCTGTAAAAATGTCTTTTTATTGTGGTGGTCCTTCACCCTTTCTAAACTTACCTCCCAGGCCCATTCCCCCTCCATACATGCCACTGTAACCTCCATACATACTTCCTCCATAACCTGAAACACAGCTAATTCAATGCTGTCATCCCATGAGGTATGATGAATGTTAAGTATCATATAAAGCCAAAATATATTCTCAGTAGTAATTCATCACCCATAAGAAAAAATGTTATTCATTTTGTCACAAGCCATGAGACACTGGGAAAATCCCTCAAGACAAATTGCACTCCAAATTCTTCTTAATTTTATACAGCGAAGTTCTCATTTCTGTCTAGTAATGCACGCAGTAACAAAAATAGCAGATTTGATGAAATTTTCATATAGCCAGTAGTGCTGTGGGCAATGGTATACCAGACAAAACTGTTCTGGATCAATGCTTACAACAAATAATCAAAACAAAGAAATTGACCATATTGGAACTTGACTCTGTCTTGGTTTATAAACACTCAAAAGAAGAACTAGCCAAGGCCAATATTGAGCCATCTTGACCCTGCACTTGATAGATAATGCATGTATACTGCATTATCTACAAGAAAGAAATTTATCCAGTGATTAGGGTTTTCCATCCTTTGAACAACCACGGCCACAACTAGGCTTAGTTTTTTTAGCCCAATCAATCTAAATACGATAATTTATTGGGCTTCAAGACAGAAATTTTGATAAAATTTAAGTTGCTCGTTGTTTTCGTCTAGTTTTCTTCAAAAGCAAAAACCCCCATTCAAGCATCTCTGGCTCAGAAGACTGGAGACATTTTGTGCTCATGAAAGAATAGCTGAGTGCATGAAGGTCCTTTTCATAAAGTCTTAAGTTTCCGCCTCTTTCAAGCTTTCAAGGAAAAAGCTACAAAATTTCCCCGAAGACAAAAGTTAGTCGCCAGATCGGAGGCGTCTCACCGAAGTGCAGGAACGGCTGTATAATTTACTAAGTGAAAGAAAAAAAGTAAAGAAAACAAAACCAAACCAAACAAATCAAAAGCAAAATGGAAATTACCATATCTCGACCCTCCATGCATCATTCCATTTGTGTACCTCTGTGTCTGAGGTCGTGGCGGCAAAGGAGGTACTTTTGCAACAGAAGTACCATTGCTTGTGGAAGAATCCATTTTACTTGAATTGGACGAACTTGGTAGAGCATTCGGTCTAGGACCAGATGACCCTATTGGAGGCCGAGATGGCGAATCAAACGAAACAGAACTTGACCTAGCATTTATTCCTACTCCTTCCCAAGGTTTTGGAGGAGCAGACATTCCAGAATATTGTACTTAACTCCGAAAATGTTATCGTCATGAAGCCATCACACGTTACGAAACAAAATGGCGACAAAAATACCCTAGTACCCAGTGTCCAGTGGTCATATGCAAATTATGCATAACCAAAGAATAGGAGAAAGGAAAGCAATAAGAAATAGAAAAACACACTTGAAGTTTTAATTCAGGAGCCAATATCATGTGTCCACAATACCAATTATATAAAAGGTATACCAGTGAAAATATGCATGGAGAAAAAAACTGTTCAAAAAGAAAACTTTTAAGTGATTTGATACAAACTTTGTTGTTACCAAAAATGAAAATGGCAAAACTTTTTTAATACTGGCAGAAATTATGCCTCTGATCTCTGGTAAAATTATATTTTTTACTGTACTGATTGCCTAGAAACATGGGAGGTAATTTCAGGTAGTGTCATGAACCAGTTGCAAAGTTGAACACCATAAATGAAACAAATAGTACAACTTAATTGAACAAATGGTTGAAAATCACAGCAACCAAGATAACCCAAGAGGATTCGAATTCAAAGCTCTTGGATGAATTTGCAGTTTGTGAATGGCCAGTTCAAGATGTCTCTAGAATCCCGAAATTGAACAGTATCTGACATCACACCAATTAAATTTGGTCATAATTTTGAAATTTCAATTTTTTCCCAAACTCAAACAATTGGTTAAAGCTTTTTCCAGTCTTTTTTTTCCCTCTAGACTTTTAAATCTCCAGCTACAATTTATTTCCAGATACAGAAAGGTAGGACTAAAGAGTGTTATGTTTGGTAGGATTTAATAACCCCAAGCAATGACTGTAAAATTACTGTATTCAAGATCACACAATTTGACAAACATTTCAAATACAACTTCCTTTAATGTAAAGTAAGGTATACACAGTACATACAAAATTCCTAGGGAAAAGGTAAATCTTAAAAGTATGAGTGAAGAAGTTTTTAACTTTGTACGCTTCAGTAGATATGATTTAACATATTAAAATATTCGTTTGGGATTAACTAAGAAATATCTTATTAAAGAAAAAAAAAGAAGTCCAAACTTTTCAGAACCAAGTGATATTTACAGTTCCGTGCAAGCATGTACAGGTGTAAGTTTAAAATAAATCATGTTGTAAATGCTAAAAATATTTCCTTCTATTAACTCTAAAAAATTGTGTTTAAAAATCCTCATCAATGGTAAATTTGTGGGAATCCTCTGACTTTTTCTTCATTACTCCTGCACGTTGATACTCTGCAACTCTTTTCTCAAAGAAGTTGGTCTTTCCTTCCAAAGAAATGTTTTCCATGAAGTCAAATGGATTTTTAACATTGAAAACCTGTTCAGAAAAAAAGTCGTAAGATTATAAGTTTGTTTCAAACCTTTGACTGACAGCATGTGTTATAGAGTCCTTAAAGCTTAAACTTTTTGGATGCTTAAGGCAAAAAGATTTAATCAAAAATAATTTGCATTTCTTTAACCCTTTCCAGGGCTCGACACTAACTTTTCAACTTACTAGCCAAGTGGCTACTGACATCTTAGATGTTACGGCAATTTCAGTTTGTTCACTTGCCGAACTGGCTCGTGGAAATTGAAAACCACTAGCCAAAACTGAATTTCTCCCAGTCTGTGGCTAGTGGGCTACCATTACTGTTGATCCCTGCCTTTCATTCATTAACAATCTCATTAGTAATGTTCAGTATGGTCAGCTATCTATTTCTTATGATGTAAACTTGGAGAATTTGATGTTGGACAATGAATAATCCCCTAATTGATATTTAATTTTATTCTCATCACTAATCTGCTTGCGATTGTTCTGACGTTGTAACGGGAAATCCTGTCTTGGACCATACCTTAGGGCATTTAAGAGCCACCAAAAGTCTATCAGCAACAAATTCAATGTACTGCTTCATGAGATCATGGTTCATACCAATGAGTCTCACTGGAAGGGCTGCTGTGAGAAATTCTTGTTCAATTTCTACAGCATTCTTAATAATTCCAATGATTGTTTCTTGTGAAGGCTTGTTCTTTAAGTATGAGAACATCAGACAGGCAAAATCACAGTGAAGACCCTGGAAAAAGAAAGTGTATTGACCACTTGATGTACAGAATCTTGCTTAAAAAATACCACTTACTTTGATTTTAGGAGAGTGTAGAATATTCAAATTTTAACAATCTGTTGTTGTTCTCGTAGTTCGCTCAATCATTCGAGACAGAATAAAGGCTCGTTTCCCAAAAAACGACATTTAATAACAACAACATTATCACACGGTCACCATTTTGAAGGCGTGCTCATTCCTTTTTCTAACCACAATACATTTCGAACATAATCGTGATGTGACGTCACAACAAGTGTAACGACATCCGTGTCAGGAGAGAAACATGGACTCAAAATTACTTGAAAGATTACTCTTAGTTTCATTGAAGTCCTCCCACTCTAAGTGACTGTTCAATTCAGGTGATGACAATGTAAAGGGTGACTATGACTACTTAAAGAGGGGGAACAAATTAAGGACTTTGACAACTGACTGCTTAAATTATACAAGGTGCCCCTTCTTACAGGTTTGACTGTAGTTAGCTATGATTTTAAAACATTCATCTCCCTTAGTAACTTACCTCATCACGGCTGATAAGCTCATTTGAGAATGTTAGTCCTGGCATCTTGCCCCTTTGGTTAACAATTTAAAACAGAAATGAATTAGCAACTTCATTTGCCTTAGTCTTGCTAATTCAACTTAAACTCCTGAAGAACAACAAAAGCAAAGGATGTTTGAAAGTTAGTTAAAGGTATCTAACCTCTTTTTTAGCCAGAAAATTGCAGCAAATGAACCAGAAAAGAAGATTCCTTCCACAGCAGCAAAGGCAACTACCCTCTCACCATAAGAAGCCTGTTAGAAACAAAGTGATTGTTAACGGACACTTGTCTATGCAGAATGTTTGAAAATTACTTTTTGTGAGTGCATCACACAAGGTTGAAGCTAAAAATTGTGCTTCTGGCTGAAATTTCAAGTGAGGCTGCTCGAAGGTGGTGAAAGATTGTATGTGTGTAACCTTGGAAGTGCTCATTGTGCTTAACCAAGTGACTGCTGGCCAATAACAAGGCGGTAATCAGCACTTTTTCATGTGGCAAATTTCGCAGGCAGTTGGTGCTTAGCTACAACCCTGATCACTTAAAAAAAAAAAAAGTTTTGAAGTCTTACTCTCTCAGGATTGATCCAGTTCAATGCCCACTGAGCCTTTCTTTTGACACAAGGCATTGTCTCAATTGCATTAAAAAGATTGTCCCTGCAAGTAAAGAAAAAAAGACTGATTGGTAAGAGTTCCGTATAACCCCATACGTTAATTATGCATAGAGTGTTGCAAAGAAACCTTTATATTTAGTCTTTATGAAATGGAATGCATAATTAATGTATGGGGTTATATGGAACTCTTTCCAGACCGATTTAAGCACTGCATCTATTTGAATCTTATCTGTAAACAACTTAAAGAAAGATTGTGTAGTTTTAACTTACTTTTCATCAGGGTCCTCAATGTAAGTGTCAATTAACAGACTGTACATCTCAGAGTGGATATTCTTTAAGGGAAGAAAAGCGATTGATTTACTTTTTGCATTCACTAGAAGTCTTGGAGTTATCAATCCTAATGAATATACGGATTTTTTTATCATTTTCTCACAAACATTTTGGTCATGTTGAACTGAGAGGTTAAAGGATGCACTTCAGTTTGGTTTTTTTTTTTTTGCATTTTATTAGCAAGCCTTTCAAGATCATCCCGGACATTTAAAGTAATAGTGGTGAAATGCAAACTTACCTCAATTGCAATTTGGAAACCATAGAAACATCTTGCTTCAGGAACTTGCACCTCCTGGCTAAAACACTCAACCAGGTTTTCATTTACAATGCCATCGCTGGCAGCAAAGAATGCAAGAACATGGGAAATGAAGTATCTTTCATCATCCTGGAGCAAAATCAAAATCAACTAGAGGTCTACATTTGTAACACATATGCCAACTAAATGAAGCTTTATTCTTTTGTGCAGGTATGCAACAAGCAATAAAAAATGTTGCAGATATATTGCACAATACAAGAAATTCTCTAAACTAATCAGCATGGAACTCGTACAGAGCCATCTTTAGCTACATGCAGTAGAAACAGGTGTGAAACTTATGGATGTGAAAGCATTATTGCTATTTAATCAACAGCTGCTATGCACAATGTTATGTTGAGGTGGAAATAGTGTACACATTTAGCAAACTTATCACAGCACTCTGTTAATATTTCTTAAGAGGCAAGACAGATTGCCACTCACTGAGAGTTTGACCCAGTCATCTTTATCTTTTGAGAGGTCAACTTCTTCTGCTACCCAGATGGATGCTGTGTGAAAAAAAAAAAAGGAAAAAATGGAAATAACTGTTTATAGTAATAAAATCTAGAAATTTCTTTATTCCATACCAGTCTTTAGAAGACACTTTAAAATTTCCTGGTTACCAGGGGTTGGCTAATTACTTTCAAGTAACGTTTTCAAATAACTTTACATAAGTTGCCAGGAAAGCTGAGTACTGATGTTAGGTAAGCTCTTTTGTAAAGAACTTACATAACATATAGTTATCTAACTTTCCTGGCAAATTAAGCAATATATGAGGTCACTCATACAAACACTAATAGCTTCCAGGGTTTTATTGACCGTGTTCTTACCTTCAGCCTTTTTGTACATATCCCAAATATCTTTATACTGGATAGGAAGGAGGACAAATCTACGTGGATTTTCACGTAGGAGCGGCTCATCTTCAGTGTCAAATTTTGAAGGAGATTTGTAAACTGGCTTCACCGGTCCATGATTCTGAAAAAAAAAAAAAAAATTGGAAATTGTTTTAAAATTTGTATAAAATCCCAAATATTCCTAGCGCCTTCACAAAAAGGGATGTTGAAGAAGGCTTAGATGTGGCTTGAGCTTGTATTTCTCAACTTCGTTTCTTTAGTTTTGCGCCAAAATTACCGTTAAAATATTTCAGCGTGGGCCTATATAACCTTTATTTATTCCCTGGATGAGTTTTTCTTTAATACAACAGCGCTTTAGATTAAAAAAAGAAACACCCAGACAAATCTGTAACCTTCAACAGTGAACTACATCATTTTCAAACGTGCTTTGGCAACCTGAATGCCTCTCAAGTTAACCAAACGTTCGCTCCAGATCTGTGATCTGGTGCACGCACACTTTTCTTTCGTGAAAAAAAAGGTAAGGGACCAGAAACTAAATCATGACCAGGAGGTGAAAACAACGTTCATTTGTGGTTAATTTGTCGACTTTTAAGGCCTTGGGAGTGGATGAACGAGGAATAGATTAACCAGGTTTTTTTTCTCCCGCCAAAATCGAAGTCGTTGAGAACTGTGGACTTACCTCGTTCTTTTCATTGCTTTTGTCCTCTTTCTCGTTTAAATCTACGTCTTCAATAGATTTAGCGAGCTTGTTAGTGATGTCGCTTCTAACGATATGACTGCCAACACCAAGCATGTTGAACTACGGAGAAGTTTAAGAAAAATACAGAAAGAAATACAAGATGCTCAAGAATACAATGCGCAAAAAGGCTGAGGAAGGAATGATCATCGATGGACGCGACGCTGAAGTTCAATTTGCCCGCCAGGATAAAAGCAACCAATCAGAGAACAAGTTTTGAAAGATTTATTTACTGTGATTGGCCTCTTCTTTTCGCGGGAATTTCAACACGGACGCAAAACCCCATATTTGGAAAACAAAAGCAACAAAAGTTTGCGGTGAATTTCAGCCTCCTTCCCCAAACGAGGCTACGTTTATTTGTTGACCAGAATGGGCGCCCGCGTGCATTAATTCAGCGAATATACGCTTAAGAATACCCGGATATCCCAGCGCCATTTTGTAATTTGTATAAACCGTGAACTGGTACACATTTTGTAAAATATTGGTATGTTTGTAAACTCTTTTCAAGTTACTTCTCTTATTCTATTTGTAAAAGTAACTTATTTTCGGGAATTCATTTCTACAGTTCTTCAAGGAGGATGTTTGGACCAGGATTGGACGGAAACAGACCGCGATGTGCACCATTTTGGGATGACTTTTTTGCCTGTGTAGTGAAGAATGGCCGTAATGAGCATTGGGCACTCTGCAAAGAATACAGAGAAGACTTTATGGAATGTCTACATCACAAGAAACTGGTACGCTTTTGCTGTATCTTCTCGTTTCCTTGAGTGACATTGAAAACGTTTAATTTCGTGCAAGGGATGATATGATATTTATTTCTAAGCACCTATATTTCATATTTTTGTGGATCCGTTTTGGCTGCCTATGATCTAACCACGAACACAACTCAAGGTAGATGGGGTGTGGAAATTTGCTTTGCGAATATTTTACAGTTAGAGAACACTTGATGAAAAACGTAACACTCTACTTTGCAAGGTAGCCTTTCCCCCACCCCTTGTTGTCATCCTTCATAATAGTGATACGCTGGGGGCAAAGTTTTGAGGGAATCAACTGGGAAAGAGTTCCATATAACCTCATGGATTAAATATCCATTCATTTCATAAAGACTAAATATAAAGTTTCTTTGCAACACTCTCTGCATAATTAATGTATGGGGTTATATGGAACTCTTGCCATCAATTGATCTGTCTTTCATCCCATTCTCCCATTCACAGTAAGGAAGTGATGTTGCGTCCGTAGTATCTTTTTTCACTATTGATACATACTAACCCGTTTTTTTATTGGGGGGGGGGGAAGGGGACAAGAAAATTTTACGATGTTTGTGTTGTCTTGTTGATTGAATTACCAACTATTCAATGTTTTTTCTCTCTAAAATTTATTAAATACCTGCAAGATTGGGAAAGGGGCTATGTAAAGTCCCTGGAATGTAAAGTTATTTTCTCACTTTGTTTTCCATAGTACACAAGAGTTCAAAAGATCAAGAAACAGAAAGAAAAGCTGATCAAAGCTGGAAAATGGCCACCCAAAGAAGAAAGTGCATAGTGTGCTATAGACTGAAAATTTAGGAATTATTTTGTACAGTAACTCTCTGTGATGTATCAGCTGAACTTGACATCTGTTTCATGAGAAATTCCCTTTAAAGATAAAAGCAGAAATTGTGCCTTTTTTGTAATTAAGGTGTTTTGGGTGAATGTCTCAATGTGAATGTAATTGATAGTAGTTGTTCGTTCAAGGATAAGACACTGACCAAGTCCATTGAGGTGAGAAGTTATGATATGCATGTAAGAAGATTGTAAACATTAAGGCAGGTATTTTGTGTATATTAATAAAACCATATTGTTTTCAGTTGCCTTCTTTTTTTATTAAATTGCTTGTTTCTACACTTACCTCCCTTTGAAATCAGTAGATTTTTCTGCAATATTTTTAGGCTGTTGCTACACAGGAGACCACCTTAAAAACTTTGAAATGCAGAGATGCATTCCTGTGTTCATTTATTTCATGCTTTAGTAACAGTTCTGTGATATTTTGTACGTATGATACTGGTGCTTGTCTTGTGTGTATACTCTAAAGAACCAAAAGCTGCTCTTCACTGAGGCCAATGCATATGAATAATATCTGTAAAAAATACAATACAGGTGGTACTGCTAAATTAATGATTGAGGTCAAGTTGGTGGCCCCATCATGAGCAGAGAATCACATTAGATCAAATGTATTCAATATTGTACATCTATGTAGTGACACTTGTTTAGTTAGTGTCTGTATGTTCTATTATTTACTTAAATGTTCCCAGGGATTGAAACTTACTAGTTTTAAGCATATCGAGTCCTATTTAACATCTTTGTAGCTCATGGAATAATTGTGTATCAATAATAAATCGTAGTGGATACATGTACATCTTCATGTAGTTCTTGTTGAGCTCCAATGATGTGGAAAGCCATCTTGGGAGGTAAATTCTAGTTTGAGCAACTCAAGTCCAGCCTAAGATTTTTGTGATGTGCAAAATTGTTGTGCGTCAAAAATATCTCAGTGGGTACAACCGGTTCTTGATAAGCTCCAATGATGTGGAAAGCCAGGCTGGGGTGATTCTAGCTTAAGCAAGTCTAGTCCTGCCTAGGTCCTTTAAACTTATAGAATTTTCCTGTATCAAACATATTTCAGAGTGGCTGCATCTAGTTCTTGTTAAGCTCCAATGATGAGGAAAGCCAGTTTGTTCCCTGAAGAATAACATGCTTCTTTGATGCAGAACTGTCCTTTAACAGCTTCCCTTCCCCTTCATTACACCTAGATGAAATTTAAAATGGAGAAGTTTGTTTAAAATACCAAAAAAAAATTCTAATCTCAGGGCTTGACACTAACTTTTCAACTTACTAGCCAAGTGGCTAGTGACATCTTAGATGTTTTTAGATGTTACAAGAATTTCATTTGGTTTACTAGCCAAACTGGCTGGTGGAAATTGAAAACCACTAGCCAAAACTGAATTTCTACTAGTCTGTGGCTAGTGGGCTGCTGTTAGTGTGGAGCCCTGAATCCAAAAAATACCTTGCATAATGTTTCAAAGACTGGTATGGTGCCCTAGCAAAAAGAAACACAACCAACATTTTCATTTTAAGAAGGCCTCAAGAAGTTTAATTCTGTGGAATCCTTCAGTGTTTGAATTATGTAACTATGAGAAGTTGAACTGTTGAAAAGCTAAGGCTATCTACTGTCTAGTATTCAAGTTAATTAAAAGTAATCTATCAAGATCAAAACATCTTCAACTGACTTGAAATATCTAACCAGTCCTTCTTCAGTGCCTTTCAAGTACTTGTCAAAAGTAGATGATACATTTACAGCAGTGTTCCAAATCTGGACCTTCAAAAAGAGAGTTGTTGTATGTGAAACCTTCATGTACATTTATTACTCACTATATTTCACCATGATGAATAACCAAACTTATTTTGCACAAAATCTCAGTTTAATTTTGTTCTTTAAATTGCAGTTAAAGTTAAATTTTGAAATGTTTTTCAGATACCCGTAATTTGAAGGTTGTAGGCAACTGGCCATTTAGATAAAATGAAAAATTAAGAAGGTTATCCACTTTGCATAGCCTTCAGTTCATTTGAAAACAGAGGATGATATTCTAGATAACTGTCTGCACTTTGCTACCTCATCCATCTGCCCTTCCGTGTGATTGAAGCCATTCTGTCCCAAGAGGAGGTTTGTTGATACAAAAAGGGATGACACACTGCTTTTCTGTTGGGCCACTCTGCCACTCACATAAAGAGTCTAAAAAATAATCAGAGTAAATCAGGACATATAGAGCCTGCTTTTCCAAGCACAGCAAAACACAATTCATTGTGTTTTGACTGGAATTTTTGTTGATTCACTAACAGAAGCTTCCACGTACAACATTTTGATTCTTGACTTTTAACAGCTCTACGCCTACGTTTTCCCACTTGGTTTATTTTATTTGAAATCCAGTTTTTTTTTTCTTCTTCCAACTTCTCAAACAAAGGGCATCAAGAAGTTTGCTTAGGTCAGACTTTTGGGTTTCTAAATATTCTGTTGGTTTGCTCTGATTTTGAAATAAGAACAGCTAATCTATTGCCACTTGGCAAACATTCAGTAATCAAAGAAGAAAATTTGCAAGTATTACTGAAAAAAAAAAAAAAAACTCACCTGCTGTTTAGTTTGATTGTTGTACTGAAAAGCCACATGTGTCCAGGTGTTGTATGCAAAAGATAGGTTGCCCAACATGCCGGTGTTGCCCACTGACAATTGTACTCCTGTAGAAGTAAGATATTTAAGTATTATGAGGTCAGATTGGAAATTGTGGTATATTGTAGAACTTGCAATCTGTAGACTGCTCGAGGCCAGCCATCATTCCAACTTCATCTTCCCAAAATTAAAAGACAGGAAAATGTCTTGCATACCAAGTAAGGTAATAAGTTTTACATACACACCTGACCTTCCCTCTTTAGAGCCAAATATAGGATTTGTATCTGGATTATTGATACAGGCCTGTGCAGAGCCACATTTTGCACTAAAACAGAAAGAAGAAAAGGAATGAATACAACAATTGTACATTAATTTTGCAAGAAGAATTATAGAATGATGTGGAGTTAAGTAACAGTTCAATTTATAGTCCATATTGAAGAACATTATTGCAACTATTTTGAGAACATGACATCTTAGGCAATAAAAAGTGACTTAATTGATGCTATATTAAGGAAATAACTGGAATTTTTAACCAGATGAGGAAAAGAGAATTGAATGTACTTAAAGCTAGGACAATATATCCACAGGATGCTGTTATGATAACTACCACATGCTGACTGTTATTTCAACTCAATGCAAATCTAATTATTCTTGCTACTAGTGGTTTTATCAACTAGTCGTCTACACATTTATTTGTCAACAAATTACTGGGAGAATTGCAACAAAGAATCAATGAAAACACAATGAATACTTTACTTACCTAAACACAATGTCATCCAAGGCAACATCACTCCTATAAGATTTTCCTTTGGTTGCGGTAAATCGCACAGCCACAAGTCCTTTGTATGCCTGGTTAAAATAAAAACAAGTCATTAACAGAGTTCTCACAACAATAATGATATAGTGCCTGACAGCACACATGAATTCGATACAATTAATAACCCAAGCAGTATGGCTTTCAGTTAAATTGAGCCAACTTATTTAAACATTATTTAATCATTGTCACTGCTTATGTTTTTTTTTTTTGCCAAAGTTTGGATTGTGCTTGACACAATTAAAAAATAATGGCAAGAGAAAAAGTAATATGACAAAATGGTATTTTTGCCCAGTGCAATTGAAAATACACTACTAAAACTTTTTTCAGAGAAAAATAAATAACTTGGAAAAAAATTTTGATTTTTCATATTGACACCAAACATATACTAAGTATATAGGCATATCTGCTCTATAGGCATATATGCCTATGTTTTCTCACTTGCTTTATTATATTATTTTTGCCCAGTGCAATTGAAAATACAATACTAAAACTTTTTTCAGAGAAAAATAAATAAATTGGAAAAAAAATTGTGATTTTTCATATTGACAGCAAACATCATCCTCGGAGACCCAGGGGCTGCGTCGATTTCAAGTTAGGGCACGGAGAGCCCCTGGGGACATTGTCTTACAAGACTAGTTCCAAACGGTCGCAGTCGTTCTGCCATCTGATTGGTGCCAGAAAAGCTTTGTGTTTTTCTGCCCAATCAGAGTGAAGTGTGCTTTAGAGTCCTTTCGTGTGTTTTAACACGGACATATACTAGTAGCTCAGTTGCTCGCTTTGTTTGTTTGGACCGTGCGACGGAGATTTACTTGAGGTGAAAAGTTTCAGTCTCAGCGCACAATGTAAGAGAAATCCATCATGTCCGCGAAAATCTTACCAGAAATTGTACTGAATACTTCCGCAGGTATCACTAGAGAACGTGTTTTAAAGTTTGCGAGGTTTGTACACAACACGATGGTTGCAGTCATTGATATGTCGCTTTAAACGTTAAACGAGATTCAAGCTTAAATCTTTCTAGATTTTTTGCATAATTTGCTGTGACTAAAACTTTGCCAATCCCGGGAAGTTATTTCGTCGCATGCAACCATCGTGTTGTGTACAAACCTCGCAAACTTTAAAACACGTTCTCTAGTGATACCTGCGGAAGTATTCAGTACAATTTCTGGTAAGATTTTCGCGGACATGATGGATTTCTCTTACATTGTGCGCTGAGACTGAAACTTTTCACCTCAAGTAAATCTCCGTCGCACGGTCCAAACAAACAAAGCGAGCAACTGAGCTACTAGTATATGTCCGTGTTAAAACACACGAAAGGACTCTAAAGCACACTTCACTCTGATTGGGCAGAAAAACACAAAGCTTTTCTGGCACCAATCAGATGGCAGAACGACTGCGACCGTTTGGAACTAGTCTTGTAAGACAATGTCCCCAGGGGCTCTTCATGCCCCAACTTGAAATCGACTCAGCCCCTGGGTCTCCGAGGATGAGCAAACATTTGTTCAAACAAGAAGGAAAATCCTAACCCTTGTATTTAAATTCCCGAGATCTGATTGTTTTAAATTAAAATTCTCCCCTCTAGCTGCTACACATTTCCTTGTAAATTAGGTACAAGAATTTGGTGATAGATCAAGACAACAACTTCTACCTGATAAGTTTGAGAATTCTTATCACTTGTTTGCTGAAAAATGTATTGATACGATAGAGAGAAGTTCCATGTTAATCACTTCTGGGAGTTAAAGGGTTGACACAGTGACTGTATGAGATTAACATCATTAACATGATTGTCTAAGAATTAAATCTCACTTATTCCACAAGACAGTGACAAAAATGAAAAGAATGGTAAGAATAACTTAAAACACACAAAAAATTCCTTTTTCAGAAAGATTTTGATAAAGATTTGGATCCATTTTAAAATTTTCCCTCAATTTGGAGTTCATATTATAGCAAAAAATCCATTATTCAAACCCTGGATATGGATGTAAAGCTTTAACATAATGAATATTTTATGACCAAAAAATAAACCAATCTTGTCACCTGCTTTTCATTTTCAATGTAAAACTACTAGAATAATTTGAAATTCTCTCAACAAAAAAATTATCTGTTTTCACAGAAAAGTGGTGAGAAAATATTTTCAGATCAAAATAACAAAGTGAAATAATTAAGAAGCCCAAAAGTATGGTGAACCAATAAGATATTTTAGAATTGTTTTCTGTTACTTGGAATAAATGTATAAAAAGATGCAGTGAATTTCCATGGAGACAAAATTCACAACACTTTATCAAGTTCTAAAGGTAAGTTCAAATTAAGTACAATTATTCACAAAAGGTTTTAAAAGAACATTTTAAATTTCTATCTCAGACAAGTTTTAAGAGTTTTTTTTTTCTATATTATCAGAAGATAACATGGCCTAAGTGAAAACTTGTCCATGTAGAGTGGAAAATCCATGGAAATGTGTCAAAAGTTTGGCAAATCTTGAATCAATTTTCTGATAACCTCAGCATAATGATACTCTGAGATCTGACATAAAATATCTAATTGAAATTCTTTTTACTCAAGATCTAGTAATCAGAAACAAAATTTCATTGTTAACTTTCACTGAGTACCAAAGGACACAGACTATGAGGACACAGAACAACAATCATCTTATGTCTAAATGTTATACAGCTCCATGTTTTCTTCATAATTGCATGCATGTATGTGGTCTATACATATCACAATACAACAAGCTTGTAAAGTGTTATTTGGTGGGCTTATTTTTTCATTATTTTGAGCCATGATAAACACCAAACTTTTGTTTTGAAATATTAACAAATTTAAAGAAAAAATCTTGAGCCACTAACTAACAGTATCAAAAAAGTTATGAATCAGAAAAATAGCATTATTTACAAATTTAGATAATATAAAAATATAATATCTTAAATCACACTTTCTTTGCAGCCTTATTATGTCCTCTGAAAGCCCTCAACAATACATGGGTAAGGATGTCTCAGCTTGGGAACACACCGAGCACAGCAATACATGCACAAGTAGTACATCATACTATGACAGCCAGTACAGCGAGAAACAACGCAACCAGAGAAAACTAGCTAACAGAAGCCCTGCCTCAAGAGGATATCCTAAAGAATGTGTAGGTAATGATTATCAATCATGCTATATTGTTAAATGTTAGCTCTGGATCATATTAATACATGTCAAATATATTGTCTCTTAGAAATAATTTGTGTGCACCAAACTTGTTTCGTATTCATAATCAGGATGATGAAAGGATCAACTTCCATTTAAATTTCCAAAATGCTTTTCCATCCAGATTTTGATGAATTTTCAACCCAACGAGATAATCGAGCTGTCAGATATAGAACAGCACATCAGCAGTGGTTACTGGACAATGATGCATTCTCATTGAATAGCATGAATGAGTGGCAGCAAGATTTACGCCGTTGGACACCCAGTAGCAGTGCAAGATATCCACTGAGAAGGAAGACACCTAAGCCACCCATTGATCCAGAAACATGTTAGTTCATTTAATGCTCAGCTCTATTTTGACCATGATTGCATTACTGGCACACTGCAAAAAAGTTTAAATTTACATTTATAATGACCTGTTGCAGGGAGTAAACTTATATATGGCATAAAAAGATTTTTTAAGTTGACACAATCCAGGAGATTAAGGCAGAGAGTGACACCATGTATAACATTTTAGAGTTGTCAAACACTGCGACAACATATGGCAACATATTAACAAACCATAATCACTGCATGATTACTTTTATTAGTATGCATCAAAAGCTTGCAAAAAGCACAAAAAACAAGAAATTAAATAAGCATGCAATTAAAGTAGTCAATTTTCCCTGTACCATATTGTAGTACCAGAGGACTCTCAAGTTCACATATATCACAGCAAAAAGGACAGACTGTGGGTAAAACGATGGATAATTGGAGTATTGGAGGCAAACAGATATAACATCACTACAAATGGGCAGAAGTCTAGAAAAACTTCTCGCATGATAGTTGTCTTCACGCCAGAGCTTTTTGAAGAGCCATTCTGTCAAGAAATCCTTGATGCCATTGAAGGAAAGATGGTGCTTGGTATCAAACTCAAAGACTGTGATATTCCAGACATGATTGCAAATAACTGCACAAGTTATATTGACCTAACAGCCACAGATCTCAGTGACTTGACTTTTCATATCACATTTATGTTCAGGATGAGGAAAGCTCTCAAGTTGCCTGTATCCATATGTTCAGCGTAATCCTCTTGTCAATTTTTAGGACATGTACCACGTTATACTATTTCAGTAAATGGTTTGAACCTATAGGGGCAACATGTGGAAGTGTAGTGCGATCATGTGGGTGTTAAGTTCTGAAAACGACTGTTGTCAGTGGTGGTGACTGATGTTTCAACAACCTGTGCGGAAGTCATCATCATGCAGAGTCAAGTGAACAGTTGTGATCAGTTGAATGTACTTAGTCCAGTTCATATACAATGATTGGTCAGTTTTGCCATGATGTTATTGGCTGTAAGACTCAAGTGGCATAAGTGGGTTGTGATTGGTCTGTTTTGTTTGTTGGTAAAATAAGTTAGGTGATTCTGTTTGGTTCATTTGTAATATTAATGTTGTGAATGTACTTATCTTTGTGTACAAACCTCAACAAGATCTTGGACAGAAATTAAGCATTTGCTGCAGCTTGAGGAAAATTTCAGACTTCTTCCCATTCTTTTAAAACGTTATTATATATTGAAAACAAAACCTCATTAAACTTTATGTTTGGTTAATTCCACACATTTCCAGGTCTTTTAAGTTTTTTTCTTTTTTCAAGAATTCAAGTCCCTGAAAAAGCCATGTTATCACTTACTTCTAATTTTACAAATCAGCTGGCATGGATATTTCTCTGTGGAGATTTCACCCACCAAAGGACATCATTTCAAATTGGTACATACAGCTCAAACTTCTAGAAACATTACCAGTAGGTAACTGTAAATAATTTAGGAGGGAGAGAGAGAGAGGTGCCTTACTGAAAGATCAATGGTTCCCCGATGCCAAATGTTGCCTTGATCTCCTGCCTTCCTAAACACCATGAACCAAGTCTGATCCACTGTTTTAACCTCCACAGCAAGGCTCCCCATTTCCGTTTTGTTACTGCGATCATTCATATGATAGAAAAAAGTCGTGTTACACCCATCACCTGCAGCAAACCAGGGGGTTTCCAAAGAGGCCTGAAAAAGAAAGATTCTCCTGTAATACTGCATTAATGCAGGTACAGCATTCCCCCTTCCTACATGTATGGATGTTGTTGCTTCATTTTTGGAAAGAACACACACCAAATGCCCCTTGTGAAAATTCACCCCTTGAATGATAGCAAATTGTTATTGGAGTGAGAGGGTCTAAAAAAGAAAATGCGCCATTCACATGAAACAAAATCGTATAGTTACTAAAAGAAGGAATGACCTACAATGAGCTACAATGAGTTACCGTGGGAACAAGGAATGACCTAAAATGATCCACAATGACCTACAATGATTTACAATGACCTACATTCGCTCCGACGAAGGGCTAACACTTGAAACATCAGCTTTTATAATTGTAACGGTGGCCAATTTACCATTTCAACTTTGTTGATATATTCAAGTTATTACAATGAGCTACAATGAGCTATTGTGTTACGAAAAATTGTGGCGTGACTAGCGTGACTTTGCGCGAGTTTGTCATTAGGCAAAAAAGTTTAATAAAGATACCTAATGAATAAACTTATCACGATTATTCCATGAATCAAGCTTATGATCCGTTCCGCACAAGATATTTACACAAGATGACAGCAACTTAAGATGACACAGAACAGCCGGTATAAAAAGAGTGAATGGTGCCAAAGAAGACTGACATATAGCCTCATGATGGTGTGATGACCTTTCTGTTTTGCTGTCTAAAAATATCAATGAGTTAAACTTGTTGACAGGCCAAATACGTCTCATAGTCTCGCAGTGCTGTGATACGTGACCTTATTAATGGTTTTGATCTAAAAATATCAATGAGTAAAAGGTGTTGACAGGCCAAATACAACTCATAGCCTCATGATAGTGTGAAATTATGGGAGGCTTGTTATGTAAGACTCTCAAAGACATCTTAAGCCAAAGGTTTTTAGCATTTTTTATTTATCATTATCGTCATCATACATGTCTCATTATAATACACTGTAAATTTATTTCCAAGCTAGAAATTCTGTTATCATTTGGCCTGTTATTCAGTAGACAAAAAGCCAACACGTTATGTTAATGCACACGTCTCAGTCCTGTTTTTTTTCTTTGCCTTTTTTCTAAAATCTCCATTTCCTTCATTACAGGGATCTTACAGTAGCTCATTGTAGGTCATTGTAGCTCATTGTAGCTTATTCCTTGTTTTAGTAACGATAAGACCAAAATAGGCAGAAAAACCGAAACTGGTTGTCCTAGTAATAAAGAACTTGTTAAAATAATGAGCGTCTTCTTTCATTAAAGGAGTGGCCTCGACTATTAAGAGGTACAGGCAAAGAGTAAAGATTAGACCAATATTTTTTGTCAAGAAGGGACAAATGCATTGTATCCAAGAGCAAAAGCAGTATACAACCCTGAAAATGCTTCAAGTTACAGAAAGCTGCTGAATATCTTTTACTTGCTATAATTTTCCTTTTTTCTTATGAAGATATATTACTATGGTGAGGAAAATTATCCTTCCATTTGTACTAACCCTACTGCCGATGGGTATCCCTGATGTCTCCAAAAAAGCATAATACCCTGAGCCTGTGTGGTCAGCAGAAGGACCAGTCTTTGGAGTTGGGGTTTTTAATTTTCTTAATACCCAGTTCCTCTCATCATCTGATGACTGTGTAAGAAACCCCAAATCAGGGTGACTGGAACCAAAGTTGATTGGAGGCAGAGCACAAGTGACCTTTCCACTGCAAAAGACAACAGACCCTAATAGTTGAACACTCAACTTCTGACCAAAGGCTGATGAGACTTGTTATGTGAAATGAAAAAAATTTCCCAAATATTTATGCCATCAGAAGTCCCTCAGAAATTAACATGTTCAAAGACAATGACCTGCACTCCAAGTTTAACAATTTTCAAAGTCACCATGAGGCCAAAATGCCTCTCTCCCAAAATGAATCACCTAGGTATACTCACTTTGGACCTGGTATCCATACCCAGGCAGCTACAGTAATGCTTCCAGATTTTGAGCCTCCAAGTAGATTACTGATCACTCCTAAATCTACATTACCACCAATACTGCCATTGAAGCTCATGGCAAAGTTACTTATCTGTTGACAAAAGAAGGTGGAAGTGACCTTGAAAAACAAATGTTTAGACATTCCAATTTTTGTACACTGCGTGTATATTACACAATCTTTTTTGGTTACTTCTTCACTCTACTCATGTATGTATGACACTTTAAAAATTAAGCAGCTAGCAATACAAATACATGTGTGCAACTCTGTCCTCTTGATCTGCACTGCTTCCAGTTTTATCTTCCTAAGTGAACTTAAAAGTAATAATAATAATAATAATTATAATAATAATTTATTGACTTATGAGGCAGAAATTCTATGTATATATATTCAAATGCACCTAAAAAGTTGTTCAAAGAGAGCAATTTTAAACTAAGCATTGAATGTAAGCTGGGGTATTATATGTTTTGTATCAGTTAATGCTCTGTCAGGGAGACTACCACCACCCTTTCAACCATTCTGCAGAAAAACTAAAAGCTGCTGCATCTTGGCTTAACTTTCTTTTTCCAGCGTTTGACTATATGTTCCCTACTGCTTTTTCAATGAATTTGTACTGGCTCCATATTTCATATTTTCTTTTGTTCTGAGCTGTTTCCTTCATATGATAATAATGAAGGATTTCTACAGCGCCATATATCCTATGGCTCAGGGTGCTTTACAACACTTGGTGGCAGGGACTTGGCCAGACTACATTGAGCAATTGACAATTTTTGAAAGAAATATCTTCAGAGATTGGCTTAATATCAAAATCAAGGCCACACCACAACACTAGGAGTTATATTCCCTACTCATTGCAATAAGTGTGTGGGTTCTTTAACATTCCCTTGCTAACCAGTACAGGGGAGATGTCCAGGAGACAGCTGGGCCTACAGTTTTTTGTCCTTATCTGAGATGACTAGAATGTCTAACCATTTGCAGACGTCATAGCCATTAAGGCAGCACATTCTCTCTAGTTAATTTAGGAGCCTGAACGTTGGTCTGGTGTAAGGCTTAATTAGCCCTCAACCTCCTGCACGACAATTTGGCACTTTATAGCATGAGCTGACCAGGTGGTTAATATGAGTTATTTGGTTTCATGTAACAATGCTCACACAAAATGACATCAATGTGATCATAAAATGAATTTTACCTTCGGTGATCCTGCATATAACTTTGAATAGTGCACTCCTTCTTGTGAAAAGACGTACATCCCTAGACGGCCACCTTGGTAACGTTTGTTTATTATGTTCCCTGAGTCTGATAACAGCTTTCCTCCCTTTCAGAGCATAACAGAAATGAAAAGCATGTTGGCTACTGGGTGATTACAGTTGTGCAGATTGATTGACCTTGGCTATTATTTTAATTAGGTTTAAGATGCAGATCAAGGAGTGATGATTGAGTATTTTTAGATTATATGGCAGAGTTGGATTCCAGTTTAAAAGTTACAAATTCCAGCCAACTTTAAGAAAATTGTTTCACACCAGTTTGTAAGGTCACTAATTAACTCTCCTAAAATATTCATCTGATGGCAAGAATGGGTACTGCCAAGCTGTCAGACAACTTCAGACTGTGTGAAAAACAACCATCATGGTAGAGTATGCCATTTAATGCAAAATTTTTCAAAAACTTACCCTGTACCAACGCACACGGATTCTTCCAGAGTCTGGGTCATGCAGTAGTCTCCAATGATATGCCACTCCTGCAATCCACTGTGGACCATCGTCATGCCACAGAAGGTGAGTTTGATTCATAGTGTTCCCAGTCTCCCACAAAGCATCACGAAGGTTCTCACCAGGTCCTGTACTAGAGTCAACCACCTGTATAGATCGACATACAAAATTTTCGTTCCTGTAATGTTAAAAAATATATATATATATCCCAACTGCCTCAAGGTTGTTACAAACTGTAAAGACAAAAACAATGTTCATGAAAACTTGTTTTACTGTGCATGCATCTGACAGTATCTCAGACCATATACTACCATAAGATTAATGCCTCTTCTTGCAACAGATCTTGGATATGTCAAATTTGCTTGTAAATTGTAGGATTGGGTCTTTCTCTTCCAAGAGCATACATAGAAATGCCTGAAAGAAGAAGAAAAATTATAGGTCAGAAACACTCTCAATTTTATTATATAAAATCAATGGAATGTTAATATATTGGGGCACTGAAAATGTTATCAAAAGGGTGATGAGGAGATTTATACTTACAATTAAATTACCCCATATAATAGCACTTCTTGAACTAATGTCTAATTGATACAGAGCTCAACACTAATGGTAGCCAACTAGCCACAGACTAGTAGAAATTTAGTTTTGGCTAATGGTTTTGTGATTTCCACCAACCAGTTTGGCTAGTAAAATAAACTGAAATTGTTGTAACATCTAGTAAGTTGTCACTTATAACCACTTGGCTAGTAATTAGGTGAAAAGTTAGCATCAATTAAGCCCTGTGGTAAAGTGTTAATAGATAAATGAAGGAAACCTTAAGAGGCACTAATGCCGGTTTGTCCATGTTCTTGTGTCTCACCTATTACTTTGATAGCCAAACACTAAGCCAGCAATGTCATCATCATCCTTGTCAGATATGAAAAAAGTTCCACTGTAATCTACATGTCCAAATCTTGTGAAACTTATCAAAATGCCAGGATTCCTGAAAAACACAGGACACAGTCAAACATCATGATCGTACATGTTATTGAACCCTTCCATGCAACATGGAAATCCTTTGGGAATTTCATAATGTGATTTAATTGTCATTTTTTTGTATTAAACAAAATAAAAGTTTTGCTGCTTAATTCTGAAAGAAACAAAATTTTGCAATAATTCTCTGTTCAAGAACACAAAATTTAAAAAGAAAAATAAGGAAATAAAATATTATCCAAGTTCCACAAATAGAAGCAAAAAACAGATGGTTTCATAGAGATATATTTAGCAGGCCTGAAAACAAAGAATACTAAGAGATACTTGGTTTCAATATAAGAGTTTTAAGGCAGTAAATTTTTGCTGTGCTGTAGCATCAGCTTTTGTTTTTGTGGGAACTTACTCTTACAAATGAATGGAGGATTATCTATTTTGTTTAGACCATTGTATGATATATGTCCTCAATTTATTTTAAGAAACATTCTCATGGCAGTTTTAAGTCTCCCTACCCCCCCCCCCAAGCAATGTTAAAGCCAATGGTAACCATTTTTTTAAAGGGATCCTCCACTGTTTTCAAAAAATATTGCTTAAAATGCTCTTTAAGTTAGAGTAGATTTTTAAGACTGAAAAATTTTCTCCTCCCTTAGATTTTTTGTTTTGGCCACTCAAAAGAGGCCTTCATGACCAGTTCGAACGTCCAGTGGTTGCCATTTTGATCAGCGTGCAAGGCTCTCTGGGGTGATGATGTAAAATGGTTGCTCGATTCCCTTACCCTAAGTAAAATTGATAGCAAAATGCCAAATTGCATTGCTTTTGAGTGTAGTATTCAAGCTAAAAACAGGAAAGGGATAAGACTCTTCAAAGCAATGCTGTTCGAAGTGCTTCAAACACAGACGTGAGTCTTTGGGCAAGGATGTCCTTCCAACAGCATAAATCCAAGCTTGTCGAATTCCTGCATCTTTCGGAAAATTGTAGAAACGAATTTTGGGATCATTTTTCCTGTTTTTAGCTTGAATTCTCCACTCAAAAGCAACGCAATGCGGCATTTTGCTACCAATTTTACCGAGGGCAAGGGAATCGAGCAACCATTTTACGTCACCACCCCAGAGAGCCTTGCGTGCCGATCAAAATGGTGATCACTGGACATTCAAACTGGTCATGAAGGCCTCTTTTGAGAGGCCAAAATCAAAAATGTAAGGGGAGAGAACATTTTTCTGTCCAAAAAATCTACTTTTGGACGCTTAAAGAGCATTTTAAGCGATATTTTCGAAAACAGTGGAGGATCCCTTTAACAGGATGCTTATTAATAAAATTGTAAAGGGAGAAGAAGATACTCTTGGCTTCATGGTTTCAAAATGTTTTTATTTTCAACCAATGTCCCAAAAGTATTTTTGAAGATTGCAGGTTAAATGTTTGACATATCACCTATAATTTTGTTAATAACAAGTAATATCAAGTGAAAAAATACATTACCCATTAACAGTTTGAACGATTTCTCGTCCATTGTCATAAACCATCCACTTTGGAGGTTTCTGAACTTTTCCCACACCATCTAAATTCACTTCCTGATACAAACTGAAGTCTGTCTTGTTTAAAAACTTGTTGACTGGATAATCATCCTGTAAGATAGTCCCCCCCCCCAAAAAAAAAAAAGAGAAAAAAAACATTAATCAGAAAATGATATGACATTAACAAATTTAAGTCTCTCATTGTGATTGTATGGTTGTAGAGATTTTTACATGTAGATAATATACTGTCCATAGGTTGTAAATGTTATGGTAACCATAAATGAAGTGACAAGCATGCAACCCTTTTCACC